AACTGTCGAAAGAGATAGTTTTCCTTCTTCAAGCATTTATGAATATTTAAAATTTCTCGCTGAACTTGAACATGTAAGTCCTTATTTTCAAATTCCGGATCCCTGTCGATTGACACAGATTCCTCACACGTAATGTTATCATGTTATCGTTTCAAAAGGTCTCCAGAAAGCCATATTGATGAAAGTACCCGAAAACACCAAGATTTTCACGAAAATCTGTTTGAGATTGGAACCTTTGATGTAAAAGTTGATAACTTTTTCTATAGATCAATCACCCTAACACCAAACTGATATTTTTGCACTCGCTTTGTCCGCTTTTTAATCTATTGTCGACAAATTAATTTGCAGGTAGTGGTTCCACTAGTTAATTACCGAAAAATTAATTAGGATAATCATCATTTAACAAACAAAGTCCACATCGGACCAAAAAACTTCAGGTATATGAACAGCTAACCCTTGTCTTCAGATTCAGTATCAATTTGCTTCTCCTGAAGATGCTAACCTTGTTAGCGAAACGTGCGTCGAGTGCAAAAATATTAGTTTGGTGTTAGGGTAATTGATCTCTAGGAAAAGTTTTCAAAAGACGGTTTGTAAAACCACTCACTACCTCACCTAACTCAACGAACACACGGCACTGATAAATAAATATTGTGAAACGGACAAAAAATTAGTATTCAGCCAGTCTAGATAGCCGAGCCTTTAATCCTCAACTACATTTGATAGCACGTTTACTAACTATCTGGGCGACTAGAGGCCACAGGCAAGAAATGTTTATGACTGAACTCTTATCTTTATTGCCGTTTCAATTGGGAATCGATAGACTATACCACATTATATTCAAGGTGCTCTGAGATTCACATTTCTGATAATGAACTGTTTTCTCCTATTTTGAGTTGAGGCGTGGTACATAATATTTATTTTTTGTTGTAGCAGAGCACAAGATATTTATATTCACTCTTTTGAATATGACTTTATAAAAAACACTTTATTTTCGATTACAGACTTTCTTTGAATAACACACAAAAAAGGTCGTTACAAAAAGTACAATGAAAAATGGAACAGAATCTAAGTTGATACTAAGCGAATTCTAAATTAGTTCTGACTATGATTTGACCTCGCAGGGTTCATTTATAATGTGTAGACAGCGGTGTCAGCAGGAGACGATGGGAAATAACAAAAGTATCAGGTTCTGCTGACTCTGCTGACTCAAAGTCTTGGAAGTCGTTATCTTGGTAATCTGATACCGGTGAGATCGTCCTACTCACGATATAACATATATGTTATTGTTTATTCAATTATATAGGAATCCGATTGTAATAAACAGTCTACGTGTATTCAATGATATAATAAATATAATAATATATAATGATATAAATTGGTTCAAAAGGATAGACTAGTCAATTCCCCTTTGGGGGTAAGTACCTATAATGTGAAACGACAAGACTTTCAATAACTTTCTTTGAACAGCGTCAATTTGCTATATGTGAGAATATTAAACGGGATAACGGATCATTGTCCCATACCGGATTCCAATGTACTACAGGCACAGGTGGTTCCAATATTCACGTCAATCAACTCTCCAGTCATACCCTGGAGAATATTGGAATTATTTTTCTCATCCCATCATCTCATCCCTCATCATCTCATCCGACCACATTTTGATTACTAAGCTTCTATTATTAATACTGGGCGAGGCATTTTTAATTAAGGACAAATGTGAAAACGTTTTACAGGCTTGTTTTAAGAAGCCACCCTATCAAACTACATCATTGTTTAAGGGCGTATGTGTTTTTTGTTCATGGCTATCTGCGATAGATTTTAGATTGTTTTTTAATGTTCTAGTTGAGGCATTGTTGTCAGAATGAAAGAAATTTTATACTTTAAATCAATAATGAATTCATTTCCACCATTAATATGGAAGTGTCCAATCTCCATATAGTTTTTTTTCAACTAAAATCACTTGTTTGATCCTTTTTTGCCAGTCTTCTTTGGTAATATTATATACTCCTTCTTCAATTAGCTCTAGTACCTTCTCATCAAATTTTGGAAAATTATTTTTACGCCTGATGCTTTGTTTCAATTTTCCCCAATTCGAATCGATGGGATTCAAAACACAAATATAGGGGGAAAGTCTCAGTATGGTGTGTCTATACTTTTCAGCAATACCTTCAAGGGCATACACTTTTTCAAATATTTTTGTCTGTAAAACTTCAAGTAGTTGGTTTTTGGTATAGTTATCTTCAAAATACAAATTGTTATCCATTAAAAAACTTTGCATTTCATCTTTCCTCGAATTTTTATTCGGTACTTTGATGAGCTGTCGCGAATGATAGGAAGCGTTGTTAAGAACTATTACACTATTCACATCCAAATTTGGGATCAATGTGTTTTCAAACCATTTCTGATAGTCAACATTGCACTCCTCAAGTTTTCTTTCAAATAATTTCAAATAATTCAGAACCCCTCCAAACCAAAAGTGTTCAATTTCTTCCTTGTGATTTCAGTTATAGAAATCTCTTTGCTTTTGTAACAGTAGTATATTGTTTTTTTCAATGATTTCAATGGATAAACGTCTAAAGGTTTTAGTAATACTGTATCACATATAACGTCTTGTGTTCATAAGATTTGATTTTGACTATTTTACGTACAGTTGAGAAAGGAATTTCGGTCAAATTAGATGTTGCTTGTAATAGTTTGTTTCTTTTGAAACCAAACTTGAGATGTAGACTCTTTTATACATTGAAACATACTCTCTGTGTTTCAATATTCAAATCTATCCGAATCGCATTCACTGGTATCTCTTTTTTGCATTATTGACTTTCGCTATTGGAATCATTACACTGGAAAAAGTCTGCTTTGTTATCACACTCGTTATTACTATTAGTACTTGTCCAATGACGCCACATTTTAAACAGATAACAAAAATTTTGAGTAATTATAACTTCACCAATATCGAATTTGAACACTCAAATCGCAATCAGTTCCTGAACTGAACAAGACGGTGATAACCAAGGCCGCATTCTCCAATTTCTATTCGTCACCGTAACATGACTTCAAATTCAATTTCATGACTCTTCAGCCTATATGAATAAATAAAATAAAAATTAGCCAATATGAACCGCCAAATCTACAGTACACGAAGACTAGTTTGCTGCCGGTTCATTTCTATGTATTGATTTTTTAGGCCTCTGAGAGTGCCGACAACTTTAACAGTGCACAATATAGTTCACTTCGACTATGCCTGACTCATTTGCGGGATCCAGCATCTACTTCATTTAGTCGGTTTGGGTGGTTGTCAATGTCAAACGGAGTGATTTGAATCGTTGTGTATTCCGTCACAAAATTCTTCCGACAAAAAACCTTTATACATCTTCACAAAAAAATCAGATGCTACCAGAAGCTCACAATGTAAGTAATTCGTTTCGACTGAAAGTCATGCACAAATTTTGGCTCCACAGTTCAGCTTTTTCTATGATATCGCGGGAATTTATACCTGTATTTCTGATGAACTGAAGGACTCGTCACATTTTTACTGAGAAAAATGTATATCAAAAACCTTCAGTTTGATTATTGACAATAGATTTCTAACTTTCACTGATGTTATCATGTGTGTATTGTGATATTTCACATATTTGTCTCAGATTCAGTTTTTGGTTTCATTTTACTTCTTTTCCTTCTTGACGATAGTTCCTGCAACCGGTGCTGTTGCACAGGGTGTAACATAAGTACGTTGAAATATTCAAGTGACGTATTCCTCAGATAATTTTGAAAAAAAAAGTCTATAAACTTGTGTCTTGAAATGCTTTGTTTCATAGATACAGGTATTCGAAATTGATCGTTTTGTTGGTTTGTTTGTTTTTTACAAATAACTTTTGCGAAAAAATAAGTTATTTGCACGAAATTAGGTACCCGGATTTTTTTTGGCGTGGAAAATCATAATTTTGCATTGATTTTCATGTAACAACTAGAGGGCGCTGCGTACGCTGTCATTATTTATTTCAAATTGCTCTAACTTCTTTGACAGTGAGCTTATGGCACTATTCTTGAAAGAACATAATTTCCACAGCTCTTTCAAGTAAAAAAGGTATACTTCTCCAAAACCGTTGGAGGTGATCGTTTTCGAGATATTTACAATTTTCTATATCGATGCATATTAACTTTCTTCCTAGGGCGCTAAGTGAAGTTGCTGACATTACAAAAACTGAGTATGTGGCGAATCTCGTGAAAATGAACGTTTTCGAGATACAAATTGTTGAAATTTCTCAAAACATAGCTGCTTTTTGTTATTTGTATCTCGGAAACGAATTTGATAAACATTTTGAAAAATAATTTTTTTTTATTTTGACAAGATCCACCACATACTAAGTTTTTGTAATGTTCTCAGCAACTTCACTTAGCGCTCCACGAGCTAAGTAATAAGCATCGATATAGAAAATGTAAATATCTTAGAAACGATCACCTCCAGTGTGTTTGAGGAAGTGTACCTTCTTTACATGGAAAAGTTGTGAAAATTAGGTTTTTTTTTTGAAAAGTACCAAAAGTTCACCGTCAAAAATGTTAGAACATTTCGAAATAAATAATGATAGCCTACGCAGTGCCCTCTAGATGTTACATGAAAATCAATACGAAATTATGAACACCCACGTCGAAAAAAAAACCCCGTGTACAAATAACTTTTGCAAAAGTCATTCTCAAGAAACGAAAAAAAAATTCAATTTCAATCCCTCGTATCTCCGAAACGAAGCATTCCTGGACACAAGTTTATATAGAGTTTTTTCTTAAAATTGTCTTAGGAATACTTCACTTGAATATTTTTACTCACTTATGTTACACCCCGTATGGTTGCGTAGAAGAGTGCTATTCTATTGTTTTCACTGAATTTTTTATATTTGTTATTGTTGTTGATGATGGAAATGAAAACGTCTATTTTTATCATCATTGATTTTGCCAATATTACCTCCACCTTACGTATATTCTAGATTTTACATTTTCAGCTCACGAATGACTCGAAAATACAGCATCTCCGCCATCTCCATATCGACAAACATTTCAATAGCAGTATCGAAGCGGCACGCAAAACTTTCTCGGCGATTCCTGAACAGATCTCTTCGGAAGCAGAGAGATACATAACAGGTAACGTTAGGTAGCAGAGTGGCAGTTTGAATGGTAGTTTGCGTAATTTAATGAGTGCTTTGCAACTTTTTTTATCGACCCCTGCTAGTTTATCACAGCGGATTCTGTTCGAGTTAGAGATTGCGAAGTTTGAGTCGGAACCGCACCGAACATCTTTCGAACGTCGATGAAAAAAGTGTTCGCAGAAGTTTTCAGGGTATATAAGATCTATGAGTAAGCTTATGTCTTCAGAGTTAAACCCCTATTAAATGTCACCTTATACTCTGAAAAGCTAATAATTCAGATCGTGAAAGTTGCTTCGTGATACAGTAATGTATGTTTCAAATTATTTTTCATAATACGTGAAATGAGAATTCATTTGAATAGGATTTCAGAGTACTAGATTTTATAGAGAACAAACGCCTCCGTACTATTGGGTTGTTCCACAAATTTTGTCCAGTTTCATGAGTCTACTCGAAACTGTAATATTACAGTGAATACTAATTAAAATCATTGAAAATATGCGTCTTCTGAATCATAGCACTTTCGCCAACATAAGACAAGTTGATTGATTGTAGCAACATAAAAATTGTGTGCTCGAGATTCGATGAATTCGACGATGGCCATTTGCGTCTGGTCTTGATTGGTGAAGGTTCTACTAGTGAGGAAGTTATCGAAGTGCTTAAGAATCTAGTGGTCGGTTGGCGAAAGGTCTGGGGTGTATGGTGGGTGAGGCAACACTTCGACGTTCAATTCGTTCAATTTTCGGACGGTGATTTGTGAAAGGTGTAGACAGGCGTTGTCATGGAGAAGGATTGGACCTCTTGTGTTGCCCAGTGGCGGCTGCTGCTAACGCAGTTTTCGATACATTGTGGTCATTTACTCACAATAGGAATCTGCTCTAATGATTTGGCCCGCTTGCAGAAAGTTACAGTGAAGCACACCAGTCGCTGGCCACCATACAGTAACCATGGTCATTTCTTCGTGGGTTTTTACATACATTATGTTAATCACTATGAAAAAGCCAGTGTGATAGCAAAACATGTCGTGATATATTTTGAAAATATAGTTAGTGAAGATCATATCACAAAATGTAGTTAATGAAATATTCACTTTCCCTATATTCCAGGAAACGAAAGTAACACAAAATATGAAATTATGAAACGAAAACGAAAATTGATTAACGCTCCGGGGCGAGTTATTTGATTTCAGTGGCTCATTTGCTTTTTCAGCTTCAGGAAAACCCGGAAAAACCTGCAGCACTACATCATCTGAAGATCTTAATCTGGCAATATCATCTCTTCCTCAAAATGAATTGTCTTCAGAGGCTCCAATAAATTCAAGATATTACCAGAATTTATATTGACTCAACTATCGTCAAACTTAAACCAGTCCATTTCGTCTTTGACCAAGGCGTAATAATGACCAAATTCAACGCTACATCCACAGTGAACAATGACTGCATGAAGATTATAATAGTGGTCTGCTAGATTGGAGTGTTCATCTATTTCGAACCTTCGTGAAAGTTTGGTTCCTCCATCAAAAGTTCAGTCACGTTAAAAGAGCATCAGTGTTATTATTATATTTGGTCGGTCGATAGCCGGGCGGGGCGGTTCGACGTGGGTTCTTTGTTCACTCCCTCAATCGGCCGATGTGTAAGTCGATGGTTCAAGCCCCAGGCTGAACGATCGATTTCCACTTGCTATCGTCCATCCCGTGTTAGGAATCACGTGCTAAAAGGTAAGACCTCGTTAGTCCTTAGCTTGAACAAGTTTCGACTTCTGAGGGTTATCGTACGTAGGGGTGCGATAACTGGTTAACGGAAAAAAACATATTAGATTGACTGGTGCCTCAGCTATACTTATTGTTTTATATTATATTTATATTGTCAGTTAGTTTGGCGCATATTTGGCAATACAGTTGATCATCACCTGGTAAAAGTACTATTCTCAGATGATTTAAGAATAAGCTTAACACAGACTGGTTATATCAGTCATATTAGAAAACACTAGTTGAATTTCCAGAAAGTCACATATGCTTTTGCTACCTCTTGAACATGTACTACAAAGTAAACGAGTGAGGATTTTTCCAGCAGGAGATCTGAAAACACGATAACGAGATAGACTGTACGGAATCATTTAATCCAGAGTGGTCAGGAGTATTGATTCTGCTATTTTCCTGCTCACGAAGAGTATTCAACAAGAACCCCAAGAATTCGGAACCATCCTCTTGTTGTCCTATTCAGTGGACTTCAAAGACTCCAAGAAATCGGTTGGTGGGAAAGACGATATATTCTTAGGAAACTGTAGCTGCATGAACAGGTGTTTCAGTTTGGTGAATAAGTAGGAAACTTTCTCGTTCTTGTTCATCGTTTAAACCTCGCTCTTCATCATGAACAACACTTATATGATGCTATTAATGTAGCAAGTGGTTCCAGGACAACTGTCTACTAATTCCTAGAAAAGAACATGTTCCACAGAATCTGCATCAGCAATATTTCTTAAGCTGCAATCGATCCTTCCAAGTGATGAATAGTTCCGTAGAGAGATTGGGCTCTTGCTCCATGAAGCTCTTTCACTGAAAGGGAACCAGAACCACAAGGACTGCAGATCACATTTGGGGGGCAAGAATTGACCTATCTAATTACTATGGATCTTCATTCAGTAACGGCCGCATCAATCAGAACAAAAATACATATTTATTGAGATACGGAGCTACAAAAACACATGACACTGAGACGGACAAAACTTTCAGAGCAACCTATCACCTTGTCGAGTTCTCACGATTTTCCACTAATACGTTGACTTTGTGGATTGTTTTTTAATTTTTACATATTTCAATTTGTACATATTCAAGGAGAGCATTGAGATCACAATTTTGTGCATACTCATAATTCACTTTTGAGGGCTGGAAATAAGACTGCAATCTCGTGAAAACATTGGTAGGGCGGTTGATTTCTGATGAATGACAAAAACGGATTCGTGGCGAGTTTTATCATTGACCGCAATTTTATATACTAATATTGTACAGAGAAATACCAATGCCAAGAAAAACAAACGGTTAAAAAAATATCTACTATCGCAATTGACAAAGATAACTGCATGGTTCATGATAATCAAAGGCCGATGACCTGCACAAACTTACCACTTGCGAATGTATAAATTATATCACAGGTACAAGCCAGCTATAAATTATAAAGAGGAATGTTTCATAAAAAAAATGTGTTTGATACCAAAATAAACTGCAGATCTACTGATTTCAGAAATAGAAGAACTGGAACATGCGAACCAAATAATCAAAGAGGGCAAACTGAAAACATAACGATTAGAGAAAACAATATCCGAATTGTTATTGAATGTTATACAAGGTGTTCGGAACCAATGACTAATTCTGAATATATAAAAATCGGCCAAAACTCGTTTTTTTTTTCAAATGGAACACCCTGTATTTCAGAATCGTTTCGAAGATAATTTTGACTCATTATTGGTTGGTATCGTTTTTCACCTTCATACTCCCTGGAGTATCTTCAATTTTTGTTATATTATATTCAAAAAATATGCTTTGAGATAACTTTCAATTTTTTCATTTCACATTTTGATGACTCACCCCATCATAACATTCCTCAATTAAGTTAGGAAAGAACTGAGATAGGATATAGCACTTCTGAATGATTCAAATCAATTTATCATATTATATCAGTTAACTGTATCAAATATTTGGAAAAAATAAAATTGATATATGATATAAAAAAAAATCAAATCAATTTTATATCATATATCAATTTCATTATTTCCAAATATTTGATACAGTTAACTGGTTGTATTTTTAAATCAAGATAAATATTAAATGGCTCTCAGTTTGCCAAAGAATTTCGACAAGGAATTGAAATGTGTTTCGTTTTCTGAAAACTTATTTATCTGTTTCTTATTTTTGTTTCAAATTGTCTCAAGTTTCTGCAATGTATATTATAACTCTATCGTCAACAAAATGATAAATTTCACCTCCAGATTCCAAATAACACAGATAATTTAGATAAATAATATATCGGGCCCAACACTGAACCTTGGGGAACCCCGAATTCGACTATTCCTCGGCTACTCCCCTCTACTCCGAGTTCTCATCTTTATCTCAATTAATTGCCCGTTGAATATGACTAATCAACATTTTTCTACTATCTAAGTAAATCGAATGAAATAAATAATCAACAAGTAATGATTTCGTAATTTATCAACACCATTTTTTCCATTTGAGACAGAGTACTTCGCGTACGAATATCAATTTCAGTCAAAATTTTACTTTTTTGTTTGAAGATTCTGTTACTTGTGCAGATCCTGGAATAAATAAATCACCGGAGGATACACTAACGTTACTACACACATCACATTGAGGTGGATTGAATAAGAAAACATAAGCAGCAGAACAATATAAAAACAGTTGAGTTTGTTCCAGATATGAAAGCCGTTTTAAGCAGGAAGCGCACCGAAGTGTATAAATCAACTCATGCCTTGGACGTCCTGACGAGGGCCCTGTCAGAAACAGTGGAAGGAGGTCGAGAGGTCAGTTCAACGCTAGTTCAGAATCTGGCTGATTGGGATTTGTGGAGATGGCTGGCCGTTTTAGGTGAGTAAAATGTTTTCATGGTAGTAGTGATATGTCTTTTCAATGATAAGAAGTCTGAACCCACCCCGTGAAATTCTTTCTTCATGAACCCTGTACTATATACAGGGTTCAACAGAAGTACATTAAAATATTTAAGTGACATTTCCCTGAAACAATTAAAAAAAGTCTTTATAAATTTGTGTCCAGGAATGCTACATTTCGAAGAAATTACATTTTTTGTTCGTTTTTCAAAAATAACTTTTGCAAAAAAAAGGTTATTTGCAAGAAATTTGGTAGTCTAGGTTAGGAAATCCTGATTTTCTATTAATTTTTATGTAACGTCTAGAGGGCGCTGCGTACCCTGTCATTAATTATTTAAAATTTCCCCAACTTTTTTGACAGTGAACTTTTGGTACTTTCCATGAAAAAACCTAATTGTCACACTTTTTCCAAGTGAAAAAGGTACACTTTCTCAACAACACTGGAGATGATTGTTTCAGAGATATTTAAACATTTTTATATAAATGCAAATTACCTACTAAATGAAGTCGCTGAGAACATAACAAAAACTAAGTCAAAAAAAAATTATTTTCTCCTCCAAAGTGTTTATCGAAAAATCATTAGTTTCCGAGTGACATGACAAAAACCAATCATATTGCTCATATGCATATTGCATATCTCGAAAACGAATGATTTTCCGATGGACATTTTAAATAAAAAAGTTGTTTATTTTGACGAGATTTACTACATAGGTACTTAGTTTATATAATGTTATCAGCAACTTCACTTAGTAAGCTAAGTAATATGCATCTATATAGAAAATTCTAAATATCTCGAAAACAATCACCTACAGCATTGTTCAGGAAGTGTACTTTTTAAATTGGAAAAGATGTGGGAAGTAGGGTTTTTTCATGGAAAGTACCGAAATTTCACTGTCAAAAAATTATGATGAATTTAAAATATATAATGTTACATGTTACATAGATGAAAATCAATACGAAATTATGATTTCCCACGTCAAAAAAATCCGGGTACCAAATTTCGTGCAAATAACTTATTTTTTGCAAAAGATATTTTTCAAAAACGAACAAAAAATTCAATTCCAACACCCTCCATCTTCGATACGGAGCATTTCCGATCAGAAGTTCATATAAACTTTTTTCTTAAAATTGTCTCAGGAATATTTCAACGTACTTATGTTACACCCTGTATAGAACAGTAGCACGTTTTCTATCACTGGTGCAACGTTTCAGTGAAAGAAATGAATTATTTTTGATATTTTCATAAATATATTCCATTTTTTGTCATCAATTAATAATACTGGTAATAATAAAAGATCGAAATATACAAACGTTACCGGTCAGTAATAACTGTGTCAAAACTATTGTCCAAATGCATTGGCCGTAGTCTGCAAGATTTGAGCATAGAGTTTCATCTACAAATGCAGTAATATCAGGCATATACCAGAACCTACTCATTAGGCTCTGGTAAATGCCTGCCGAAAAATAACTACTTTCCCAGCTGATACCAAGAAGCTAATACCGGCTCATGTTTCTCGTTTATCCAGAAGCAAATCCATGCTGAAATTATTCGAGTAGGTCTCCTAAACATCGGTTTCGGAGTATGACCTCTCATCAATGCAGGAAAGATCCGATCCAGACAGCAAAGTGCCTGGGACTCGATTAATTTCAACGAGGCCTCGCTGCATATATGACACTTTCGTTTAAGGGGAATATTATTAACAACAGCTCCATCTCGTGAATAAAGAGACTATCCTCTGTGAGATATACAGGCTGATTCACGGTGGATGGCACATTAGACGTTTCTGGTGAACCAGACAACGGATCACTTTGAAAATTTAATGGAGAACATATTCGGACATTCTCTAGCCAACTAAAATATTTTCGACAATGCGGTGTTGCCGCTTCTATTAGAAAGCAGTAGCAACTTTGATTTTTCAAATGGAACACTCTGTATATAATATTATTTTTGGAATCT